GCGCGACCCCGTCGCATGTCTCTGGGCGTTTTCCCGAGCGCTGAGAACCTGGGAGCGCCGAAAACACTGGTTCGTCATGGTGAGTAAAGACGCCTCGGCTCGTGCATTGTGAACTCTCCCTGCGCGCGATAAAAAGTCGCTCATGCTCGTGTGCGCGTCGCCGCGCATCTGCCCCTCCGAGTCTCTCGAGCTGCGAAACAACACCTGCCCCCCCCCGCCCCCCCCCCCCCCTCCCCCCCGTCCGCCCCCTCGGGAATGCGAGTCCGCGCAGGGGCCGATGGTGGTGCGATAGATCTCGAGAAATAAGGAGCCCTGGCAATAGTTAAGTCGATCCTGGCCCAGTCGTCGCATTCGCCACTGTAGCGTAAACCCAAACTAAGGGGAATTCCTCGGGGATCAAACCATCGACCTCCTCCGACTGTGCACGAGCAAACTCTAGGTCATCGAGCTCCAAGCGAGCCCGCGGGTCGGCCTTCAGGCGGATCGTCCAATCCTCGTTCGTGCTGGGAATCCCATGTAGGCATCGCAGGGTGCGCGCCCGTACTTACCTGCGCGCGCTGGCGCATCCAATCAAATACTGATACCGGCGGAGACGGCGGTGGCGAAGCCCATCTGCTTGAGGGGGAGCCCGCCAGCAAGCCCAGACCCATTGAGAGCTCCAATGCCAGAGCCCCCCGCCGCGGCCCTCGGTGCCCCAGGCCCCAAGTCCCCGACGCATCGCCCTCATCGTAGTCTCGTCGCCCCCAGCAGTGCAACTGCGATCAGGAAACCCACTGTCCATGCCCGGCAGGGGCGCCTCTTGGACATGCGAGAGGACGGCCGTGCGTTTGACGCTGCGAGCGGCCTCGTGCACAAGAGAATGGGGAATGGTGCCGAGCTCCGAGCGTCCTGCCTGGAGTCTCATTCTTTTATCAATCCGAGGTGATCCCTGCAGCGCGCCAGAGAACAGAAGCCACCGCTCTGCAATGCTGCCTTTCCCAGTGAGACTGGCAAGGGCGCCGCGCTCGCCCTCGCGGAGCCCCGCCCCGACGCCGCCCAGGGAGGCCGCCGACTTCTGCTACTTACCTGCGCGAGTGCAGCGAGATCTCGCGCGCCCCCGTCCTCCTCCTAGCCGTTCAGGCCCCCTCCGCGGGGTGGCGATGTTGGTGATGTCGTCTGTGTAAAATGAGATCCCCGCGCCCGTGCTGGCGCCGTCGATCTCCGTGCTCTGCGCGTAGGTGCAGGCGCTAGTTTGAGCCCTGCAGCTGAGAAACAAGCACGGGAAGCCTCTTGCGGGGCTGGGGTGTCCGGGCCCGAGGGGGATCGGGCGCTCGGGCGCCCTGACCTGCGTCGCCGTCTGCATCGTGCGAGCGCGCTGGAATCTGACGTCCTCGGGAAGAGTGAGAGCCTCCAGGGACTTCATAATCGCGTCCCGTTTCGCGCCAGCGAAGGCGTTCGCGGCGTCCACGCCAACAATCGCACGAGAGAGGCTCAACTTCTGAAGTCCCCAGGGCGCGCAAGCCTGGGCAGCGACGGCGCCCTCGCGCCGGCGGCGCCGAGTGAGTTCGCGACAACGAGAGGAAGCGCCCCCCTCTGGAAGCGCGCGCGACGCCGCAAACGGCCGGCGCTGGCCCATCGGCCCCGGCATGATATTTCCCTTGTCTGGCCCGACGACATGAGATATGTCGAAGATAAACGCGGTCGACGCAGCCCTCCCGAGGGAGGCGATGACGTCGAGCATGCGCTCTCTAAAAGCCTAAGCCGTAGAAGGAAAGGAGACGATCCGAGGCGCCCGCGATGGAACTTCCCCCGCTGCGCGGGGCCCAGCAGGACGCGCCGCAACTCGGACGGCGCGCTCCGCTCAGGCGGCGCCCTCCTCTTCGGGGCGCGCCGAAATTCGCGGGGCGTCGGCCGCGTCGAGGTCGACGAACTGCGTCGCGTCGTATCTCTGCCGGTCTGACCCGCGGGCCCCCTCGCCCAGGAACGCGGTCGAATCTCTCCGCCAGCTCCTGTTGGAGGTCGCAGCGCGCCGCCGAGATACGCCCCAGGTGCGCGGGGCGCCGAAGGAAGTCCGCGATGTCCTGCGGCTCGCATTTCTCATCTCGAGCCTTGAAATATCTGCGACGACGGGGCCCTCGACCCTTCCGCGCCAACCGTCGTTCGAGAGTCTGCGCAACGTAGCGATCGCGCTCCTTCCAGGCATCGCTTGGCTCGCCCACGAGGGCGTCGCTGCGTTCTTTGGCAATCCGCCGAGAGAGCTGCCTCGAGGGAATGGCGATGCGAGCGAGATCAAGCTCGACTTCCAGACGAGCTGCTGACTCCCGTCCGACGTGCAACTCCCGACATTATCGACGACGCGCGAGTGTCGAAGAGCGCTGCTTCTCCAGATCAAACTGTTCCATCTCCTCGGGCGAGGGCCCCTGAATTCAGCCATGGCCGCTTCCCAAAGAAGAACCGAAATCGGATGCCGAAGCTCGTCGGCGGTGGCGCGGGAGCATAGCCGCGCTCATTCAGCTTCGGGGATAGAGAGGATGACCTCGTTGATGCGCCCCACCGAGCTCGCGCGGCCAATGCCCCTACGAAGAACGCGCAGCAGCCCGACCAAGTTCCAGCACTGTCGAGGATTAGACGTAGCCTCGAAAGGATAGTCGCACTCCATGAAAACTGGCCCGCGGCCCCGATCGCCCAGCGCGCTCACTGGCTGCAATCGACGGCCCAACGCGAGACTCGGCAGCAGCGAACGCGGGGTCGAAGGCCAGCAGGCGCACGCAAGAAGTCGATCCAGGAAGCGTGGCCCAAGGGCCCGTGGAAAGTCGGGCCCACGGGGTCATGGGTGTTGACGGCGCGGAGGGCAGTGTCCCGCAAGACCTGGTGCCAGAACTTGCCAAGCGTACCCCTCCAGCTCCGCCCCGCAGGGGCCCACGTTGTCGTCCGAAGCGGCCTCCCGCGACGGCGAGGCCCCGTGGGCCGCCGAACTACCGAGAGGGGCCACTGGCCCCTCCCCGCCCAGCGTGTCGTCTGCGCAGTACCCGTGGCGGCCATTGGGATCGACGCCAGCGAAGGGAGTACGGCGGCAGCCCGCGCTGTTCAGTAGGCTCCTAGCCCACGAACAGAGGCCCAGGACAGACTTGCGAAAGTGAGGGCGGTCACCGCGCAACTATGGCATCGTAGGGAAATAGAGCGCCATGGAAAAAACATGTCTTAAGGACTGGGATTTGAGACGTACCGCTCCGCGCAGACCGCGTAGGCTTCCAGGAGGCGTGATAATCTTGCGAGTGCAACTGCGAGAGAAAAACGTTTCTGATGCAGAAAGATCGACACATCGCAGCTCTTGTTCGAAGCCCGTGTCCACCCGAAGCTCAGTTCCCAGTCGTCAGGATGAAGAGGGAGTGAATGTGCGTCCTCGCCTTGACGGCGCGAAGTGCCTGGTAGCATGGTCGCCCCGATGTTGTTCAATTCAGTCGAAGCCTCCTCGGCTCCCGTGGCCCCTGTCAGGCACATGGGGTTGCAAACGCATGTCCGAATCGTGAAACTGTTGCCTGCGTCGGCTTGGGAGCGGGCCCCCTCCATCTCCACGGCGCCCACGACGCCCAGCTGCACAAGAGGAGACGCTCACGGCGAGGAGCCAGCGCCTCGCACGGGGACCCATTCCTTCTCTCGCGGGCGGCACGGGCCCCCCGAGGGAGAAGACATGCCGCTGAACACCAGAATGTGTGTGTTGGAATACTAAGGGCCGCGGGAAATGGGGGTGCGCAGGACCGCCGAAGCGGCGCAGGAAGTGGAGGAGGAAGAGGCGGTGGATGATGATGATGATGATGACGACGACGACGACGACGACGACGACGACGACGACGACGACGACGACGACGACGATGATGATGATGATGATGATGATGATGATGATGATGACGGCGAGGAGGAGGAGGAGGAGGAGGAGGAGGAGGAGGAGGAGGGGGAGAGGGAAGCCGACGACGACGACGACGACGACGTCCCCTACCCTACCTGCACCGGGCGGCGCGCCTGCACCGTCGGCGCCGTCAGGTGCCGCTGTCGTAGGGCGGCGTACGCCGCATCCAGATTTGTAGTTGGATTCGGGAGGGAGGAAAAAGGGAGGAGGAGGCAGAGGAGGAGGAGGAGGAGGTCGACGACGACGCCGACGACGAGGAGAAGGAGGTGACGGTGGGAAGGAGGCCGGAGGCGCACTGCGCGGGCGGCGGCGTGGAGGAACGCCGCGCTGCTACAGGGTAGCATGTCGTTGTGGGTGCCAGCCTGCCTGGGAAAGGCAATTATCTTGTTGGTAGGAAGGGGTTAGGAAGATAAAATGTGCGACTGCATAAGAAGCACATTCATCATACGCGTTAGTAGTGATGACGTGGTCAGATCTTTCAACCCCATCCTCCCAACCCGACAAATGTCCTTCTAACCTGCACCTTGCCACCCAACGGCCGTACATAGAACGGAACATGCTCCTAGTGCAGTTTGGGCTGGTTCTTTCGAGGAGCCCAACAAAGATCCGAAGGGAGTCCAACGAGGGATCCTCGAGCCCAATCCGAACCAAATGTGTTGACTTGATTGTACTTTGTTCGCCTGTGCAAAGAAGGCGAATGTGGAGGCGGCAGGAAGGGTCGGGCTCGTTGGTCCAATCGAGTGCGATGTGGGCTCAACAAACGCGCGCCCTGGGGACGGATGAGGGAGGGCAAACATGCTGCCTACATGATGGCGGAATGACCTCGGATGCGATTCCCTCACACACTGCAGTGCAATAATTACCGCAGCCAGCTAACTTTGATCCAGGGACTGCCTCAATGAAATTCGACTCTCAGTTTGCGAACCCTGTGCAGAGGCGGGGTCCAGGTGCTTGTAAGCAGAGCCGCCCTAAATGTGCCAACATCAATGGGTCGCAAAACAAACGACTACGAACGAGGATTGTAGCATGAGGCAGACGCGCTCAACATCATGATAATTGCTTCCATTGCATCTGCGAGTCAAAGAGCGGACGAAGAGGAGAAGGTCAACGGCGCCTGGTTCGCCACGCGGATGGCCGCTTCGAAATTTCCGTGCGCGAACAGAATGAACTTAGCTTCGATCTGCATGGCCCTCGCCTCGGCAAGTCTCTGCTCTTTGCAAAATACGCTCGGGAACGTGGCCGCTGGACTCGCTCAAGGGGTGCCCGCCGTATTTCACATCAAGCAATTGACGATGAGGAGGATGAGATGGAGGCGGTGATGAGGACGTGGAGAAGGGGATGGGTGACTCTGGGGGGGAGACCTCTTGGAGACGGATTCGATCTTCGGTCCAAAGCCGGCTTGGACCTCGCCATTCGGACCTGTTCGTGCTACTGACACCCGAAATGGGTACGGTAAAACAACTGCACGATGCCCAACAGCAAAGGCAGTCCAAAAACGACAGGGGCCGCTGTTGGGCAAGCGGCCTTCTGTCTCGCATAGACGTCGTCTGTGGCTACGCCGGCAGCAAGTCCGGTTGGAAATGGACAGGAACTTCTTCGATCCCACCGAAGCTAGATTCGTCCGTCCTCAAAGGGGGGGCCCCGCTCAACCATTCCAGTGATGCAGAGAGGATCGGTTCAAGCCGAGCGAACAGAGGTTCGCAACGAACGCACGGGTCGGCGACTCCGAAGGGCACGGTTTGCAAAGGGTGAGGTTTGCAACCCGCGCCTTGGGGGGGCGAGCGAGGACCTCGACAGATCTCTCCCTGCCCCGAGGAGGCTCGACGAGGGCAACGCGGTGCCCCCCATGCCCCAACGACGCAGATCGCAACCCACACCCTGGCGGACACCTTTTGCAATTGCCGAAGGGGCATTATCTGCGAAGCGGGGCCATGACCAGCGGGTTTGCGCTCTCCCCAGGACGAGCCCGCTGTTGTTGGGGGAGGCAAGTGTTTGCATGTGCATCCCGCCCCACGCAGCGGAGGAGGGGGGAAGAGGGCTCAAGACTGGAGGGCATGCAACAGCCCAGTCCGACTTCTCAAGGGTCGTTGAGCTTATGAGCTTTTGCAGATGATGCCATGTGGACACAGCAGAAAGATGGAGGAAGGCAGGGGCAGGAGGAGCAGGAACTGGACGACGAGGAACCTATTCCTTGCCGCAGCGAGACCCCCGAGCCAAAGCAACGGTTCCCCGCCAGCCCCGTCGCGCCACTGCACCGGCAATCCTAGGGCCGGGGAGAAGCGCTGGGTGAGATCCTCCTCGCGGTCCAGAGGTCGACAGGGGAGGATGGCGGAGGGAGGGGGCAGGGTGGAGCGGAGCAGAGCGGGAGAAGGGACCAGGGGAACAGAGGGGAAGGAAGAGAGGATATAGACCTCCCGGAAGGCCTAGGCTACCCTAGGGCCCACTGAAGGCCCCAGGCTTGCCTAGGGTAAGGCCTACTGAAGGCGCTAGGCTTGCCTAGAGTAGGGCCTACTGAAGGCCCTAGGCTTGCCAAGGGTGGGGCCTGCTGAAGGCTCTAGGGTAGCCCTAAGGTGGCCTTAGGGGTAGGCCCGAAGAGCAGTTCCTTGGTAGCCCTAGGGGTAGGCCCTAGTGGTAGCCCTAGGGTAGCCTGAGGCATATGCCCCAGGGGTAGCTTTAGTGTACCCGCAAGGGTAGACCCTAGGGGTAGCCCGGAGGCCTCCTCCACTGTCCCCTCCTGCAACCCAAAGCTCCACCGCCTACCCCTCCTCCTCCTCCTCCTCCTCCTCCTCCTCCTCCTCCTCCTCCTCCTCCTCCTCCTCCTCCTCCTCTCCTCCTCCTCCCCCCCTCCTCCTCCTCCCCCTCCCCTCCCCCCTTCCAACTCGACGTCCTCCTCCTCCTCCACTCCTCCTCCTCCTCCTCCTCCCTCCTCCCCTCCCCCCTTCCAACTCCGTTCCTCCTCCTCCTCCTCCTCCTCCCTCCTCCTCCCTCCTCCTCCTCCTCCTCCTCCTCTGCTCCTCCTCCCCCCCTCCTCCTCCTCCTCCTCCTCCTCCTCCTCCTCGTCCTCGTCCTCGTCCTCGTCCTCCGCTCCCCTCCTCCTCCTCCTCCTCCTCTCCTCCTCCTCTCCCTCCTCCTCCTCCCCCTTCTCCCCCATCCTCCTGCTTTCTCCTCCTCCTCCTCCTCCTTCTCTTTCGCCTGCTCCTCCCCCTCTTCTTCCTCGCTCCGTCCACCTCGATCGCACGTGGAAAGTCCCGTGCGGGCCTACGGCAGGCGGGCTAGGCCGGGCGAGCGGGACATTCAAGTCTGTTGTGGTGCATCATCACATGCCTGGCGCGCGAGCGCCCGTGACGGGTGGGTAGCGCGTCCGTGGCGGCGCGGGTCGGGTCCGGCGGGCGGGACAATTCGCCGGCCCAACGGGCCAGAGGCGTGCTAAGATCTCCGGTAACTACTTAACAATATTTCTAGTTCGCGCGCGCGCGGGGCGGCCCCTGGGGGCCCCCGGACGAAAAGTACCCCGGCCGATCCCTTGCCGGGTCCCGGGAGATCCCCAGGGGGGGAAGCTATTTTTCGCCACCCCTCACGAGGATCGTGGCCTCCGAGGGGGTGGCTGCAATCGACTATCCCCTCTCCCGCCCCAAGGGACCCCCAAGAGCCCCTAAGAGGCCCCAGGGGAGCCCAAGACGCCGCCAAGGAGCCCCAAGACGCTCCCAAGAAGCCCCCAAGAGGCCCCCCAAGACGGCCCCAAGAGGCCCCAAATAGCGCTCCAGGGCCGGCGGAATGAGCGAAGCGATTAAATAATACATGTTATTATGACGCTCTTTTATACTGCTAGTTTTCCCCCTCGTGCCGTCCTCTCTCCTCCTTCCTCGTCCTCGTCCTCTGTCCTCCCTCGGCTCTGCTGTCTTCAAGATTTCGGCTCCAAGCTCTTGGGATCCCAGTGACCTTTCTGCGGAGCCGTTCCTTTTTTGGCAGATTGCACGCGTCGGGCGTCGCCGACGGCCTGGCCATCTCGCGTGGAGGGCCGCGACCTTGCCACCGCGAGGGCTTGGTGGTACATCGGGGCCTGCGCGGTCGGCTGGATCGCGCCCGACCTCGCCGACGAGGGCCGCCCGCTCATCTGGGGAGCGGAGGCCGAGCTGTACAGCGGCGACTACGAAGACGCCGAGGAGATCATCATCTCGGGGACCAAGGCGGCGGTCGGCATGGCTCCCTGGGCGCGCTGGAACAGGATCTACCTGAAGACTGGCAGCAAGTCGGGCAGTGTCATGCTGCTCATCAGCAAGATCGGGAGGTCGAACGGCACGGTCTGGGCGTGCGCCGACCCGACGCTGCGCGTCAATGTCGTCAACGTCCGCGACAAAGACAAGGTCTTCACGAAGCCCAATGCGGGGTTCCAATGGGCGGAGCACCCAGGGCTGAGCGCGGCCTCGAGGGACCTCGTGCTGGCGGCCTCGGAGAAGCTCATCGCGATGCGCGAGCTCGAGGCCGAGGGGGGCTCCCGCAAGGCCCCGCCGAAGGGCAAGCCGCAGCCGAAGAGCAAGACAGCGGGAAAGAGGGACCACTTCGTGTCGTGGCTCGTCAGCGGCGTCTTCAACACGGTGAGCTTCATCTGGCTGCGCCGCTCTGGTGGCCTCTGCGCGGCTGCCGCTCTCACGTCGGTCCACGACGCGATCCTCTACGCGGGCGAGGCAGCCCAAGAAGCTGGTCACTACTACGAGATGGCCGAGGAGATGTGGGAGAATGGGGAGCTCGAGACCCTCGCCACCACCGTCGGCTGTGCGCTGGCGGGCGCCTACGTGTTCTACTGGATCTTCGGCAGCGGGCGCAAGTGCCGGTCGGGCGACTCGGACTCAGAGAGCGAGGCCTCCGACGCGGAGTTCGCGCTGGGGACGCAGGTGCCCGACTCGGACGACGAGCCTGACGCGCGGCACCTCTACGCGGAGCTCGCGAGGGGGCAGTCCGTCCTCCAGGCCAGCGTCGCCTCCCTCGCCGAGGCGGTGGCGGGGAAGGCGGCGCCGCCGTCGGCCGAGCCGACGACGCCAAGGGGATCGGCGAGGCGCCTCCACTTCGAGAGCGACGGCGAGGAGCAGCCTGCCGAGAAACCCACGGACACGCAGGCGGACGCCTTCCTAAAGAAGCTGCAGGAGCACGAGCGCGTCGTCTCCGAGGACTCGGGCCGCGCCACCAGGGGAGGCGCGCCCACCTCCGCCTCTTCGACGCCTGCGAGCTGGGGCAAGGTCTCCGCGGGATCCTCGGGGGCGCGCGACACCGCGGCGCAGCTCGAGGTCGAGGCGCGCAACCCCAAGGACGGCCTCTTCGCCACCTTAAAATCGCACCGCGAGGTGGACGGAGGCCGCGCGGGGGGAGCGCAAGCTCGGGTTGCGCCGACCGTTCTCGCGCGCCTCTACAAGTCTGGGCGCGGGGCGCGCGCGGAGCTCGACGGCTGGATCAGGCAGAAGGAGCTCGCCAAGTGCACGATCGCCTCCGAGGCGTGCATACTTGGCGCTGTTCTCGACAAGATGATGGCGGCGGGCGAGTTCGACTCCTTGATCAACTCGCAGGCCGCCGAGCTCACCTGCCTGCGTCTGTACTCGATCTCCAAGGCCTACGAGCTGGCGGGGCAAGAATCCGACTGGCGCCGCCCCAAGTCGGCCGACGGGGGCAAGTGGAAGATCAAGGTCAACTGGGCCTACGCGAAGGAGTTCTTGGACCTGGGCAAGCATAACGCCCCTGGAGCATTGGCTGCAGACGATGAGGTGGCGGAGCGTCTCAAGCGGACGGCCGCGATCACCAAGCACCTCGGCGGACTCGGCGAGGGCAGCGGCCGTGGCCAAGCGGACGAATAGGTTGCGGCAGGAGGTCTTGCGGCTACCTCATGCCAAGCCAACACCAAGTGGATAAGTCCGCGTAGCTTGATCGTCCAATGGTTTGGGTGGTCTTCGGTGGCTACGAGGGGTTGGGACTGTAGCGCTGTTGGTCGGGGCTCGCCGCGCGTGATCAGTTGCGTCCTGGTGGTCCTGTTCCACTTGTATATCGGGCCGCAGCTGTGCCAAACCGAATGCATCTCTCATCGTGGACTGCATGTCCGAGTGTTTTCCGATGGCTGGAGCTCCTTCAGGGGGGCGTCATCATAATCCCCTACGCGATCTACCGACGCCACCCTACTCGGCGATGGCGGGGAAGGGGCCCTCACCTGAC